CCCCAAAACCCCAAAACCCCAAAACCCCAAAACCCCAGTATTTTTTAGGGAAATTGAAAATATTTATCTTGGATTTTATGGAGGTATTTGGACGAAAGAAAAGAAAGATACAGCAAATGTCTGTGATGTATCTGGTGGTGATAGGGATTTTAATTGTTACTCAATGTCAGGCAAGGTAATTACTATTCCTCTCTATTGCATAAGCTTCTAACAACAAATCTTATTTCTTTACAAATTTTGAATAATACAGTTTTCTTCTAAAATCTAGAAATTTCGAAGAGGATATTAAAGATTGTATAGATACCCAGGAGTTTCTTCTTTGAGTTCAGAAATAATCAAAGAAATTGATACTGCTTCAAAAAGTGAGTCAATGGTTAAGAGACTTTTGAGCATGAAGTCAGAAGTAGAGAAAATTAGGACATCCAATCAGATTAACGAAAGACCAGTTATTGGTATTTTCTCTCAACCTTACAATGAGACTAATGACTACATCATGGCATCTTATGTTAAGTTTGTTGAGTCTGCTGGAGCAAGAGTAGTTCCTATTATCTGGAGAGATTCTGATGAAAAAGTCTTAAATTTAGTTCCAAAACTTAATGGTGCTCTATTCCCTGGAGGTGCAACTGCTCTGAAGAATGAAGATGGATCTCTCACTGAGCATGCTAGGAAAATTGAAATTGTGCTGAATAAAATCAAGGAATTGAACGACCAAGGCATTTATTATCCAATCTTGTCTATTTGCATGGGATTCCAGGAAATTTCTCAAAGTGAAGCTCCATATAGGGACACTGTAGAGTTATATAAATTTGATGCTAATGATGTTGCGAATAACATTACATTAAGATATTCGATTGTGGATTCTAAACTGTTTAATCAAATGCCTCAACACTTGATCAATGCTCTTCAGAATGAGAACATCACCTACAATCATCACCATGATGGAATATACCCATCTATTTGGGATAAGTACCCAGCACTTGGAGGAGGATATCATCTTCTCGGAACCTCCTACGATGAAAAGGGTGTTGAATATGTTGCCTTTATTGAGAACAAGAAGTATCCAATTTGGGGTTTACAGTTCCATCCTGAAAAGAACATCTTCACTTGGAAGACAGACATGAAAGTTCCACATTCTCAAGTATCAATTGAATTCAGCCAATTTTTGGCCAACTTCTTCGTAAAAGAGTCAAAGAAGAATTTCAACAGGTTCGATTCTGAAGAAGAAATCTTCGACAATATGATAGAACATTTCCCAGTTGATCTTCCTCAACTAAAAAGACAGGATGTATATCTCTTCGCAGATTCTGGCTAAACTCTTACTGCTTTTCACCAGAAATATGGGAAGAAGATTTTCAACCTAAATTATATACAAAGGGGTTTTGGGGTTTTGGGGTTTTGGGGTTTTGGGGTTTTGGGG